CTCTGAGGACTTTTTAAACTAAACAGATATCTCTCATCACATACTAAACTAAAATCAAAATGAACCAAAGATCTAAATATTAAAGCAGATGCAATCTACTAGAAGGTAAAATAGGCAAAAAATTTTAAGACATAGGCATAGGCAAGGACTTTGTGAACAGAACTCTTCCCCCTCACCCCCGGTACTGGGGATTGAACTCAGGACCCTGCGCTTGCCAGGCAAGCGTTTATTCTATTAAGCTATCTCTCCGGGCCCTGTACAGAATTCTTAATTGCACAAAAATAACAGTAAGAGTCAACAGGGCTGGCAAGATGGCTCAGTGGTCTAAGGCACCTACTTAGAACAAGCTTAGCAAAGCACAGGGACCACGGTTCAATCCCCAGCACCACATGCCAGCCAGCCCCGCCCCCTGGTGGGCTGAGCTGGACACACACACACACACACAGACACACACACACATAAATAAATAAATAAAATTTAAAAAAAAAGAGTCAACACAAGGGATTATATCCAATTTCAAGGTTTCTGAGCTGGGTGTTGAGATGCATATCTATGATACCAGCACTCTGGTGGCTGAGACAGAGGGATTGTATTGAGTTTGAGGCCAGACTGGGATACTCAGAGAGACTCTGTCTTAAAAAATAAAAATAGAAAAAGCTCCTGCACAGCAAAGGAAACAGCCAACAGGGTGAAGAGACAACTACAGAGTGGGGAAAAAAATTAGCCAGCTAGCTACTCCTCTACTCCAGATAGAGGATGGATGGATATGTATCTCCTCAAAAATATTAGATCCTCCAAAATAGAAGACCCAATTATAAAAAATAGGGGGCCGGGGAGATGGCTCTGTGGAATAAGGATAAGCGCTTCCCTGGCAAGCGCAAGGGCCTGAGTTCAAACCCTGGTTCCGCCAAAAACAAACAAACAAACAAAAAAAATTCGGGGGCCTGGCCTTAGCTCAGTTGTTTAAGTGGCTGCTTCCACAAAGCTGTCAGCCTCAGGTTGCTGTAGTTCAATCCCCACAACACTCCAGCCAGCCAAACCACCCCTGAGGGCATTTAGAGCGGCGGGGGGGGGGGAATTAAATACTGCACTGCAGATGGTAATTTGTAATAGTGGTTTCATATTGGGAGCGCCTGTCATTGTG